TACACCTACATAAACATCCCCACTAGTACTACCCTTTATACTGCACAGGAATGAGATAGGCTAAGTCACGGGTTTATTAAGCGCTGGCTGTTTTCCACTAATGATAGTAGCAATGCTATATACATAATACATAACCGTTATTATTGTGGGAAATGGAGCTGGTGCCCATCCTGGCCAGTAGAGGGCGCTATTAACCCAGAATCTTTCCTCTTACTTCCCCTGGCTTAACTGCGCTGACCCGAGGTAGACTCTGATCCTCTGAGCTAAACTCTGATCCTCTGAGCCTCGGGCTAATGATGCCAGTTTCTTAGGTTGATGGAGATTCCTCACTCAGGTCACATCTGGGAAACACCCACCGAGGAGGCCCATCTCAAGGCCTTTGCTGTTGCCACTGTCTGCAACACTTCTGATTTTCCCATTCAGTATCGATTGCCCCTAACTCTCCCAATTGCCCCTAACTCTCCCGATCTTAAGAACCCTCCCTGCTTTTGAAACCGCTACACATTGACAATGCCCAAATTTTTTAAAGATTTATTTATTTATTTATCTTTAGAGGGTAAGGGAAGGAGAGGGAGAGAAATATCAATGTATGGTTGCCTCTCCTGTGTCCCCTGCTGGGGACTGGACTGGGAATCAAACCCGGATCATTTCGTTCACAGGCTGGCTCTCAATCCACTGAGCTACACCAGCCAGGGCGCAATTTTTACTCCTATCTCCAGAACTCCCAACTCCTCTTAAGAAATGCTTCCTTGCCCTGGCTGGTGTGGCTCAGTGGATTGAGCGTGGACTGCGAACCAGAGGGTCTGCAGTTCGATTCCCAGTCAGGGCTCATGCCTGGGTTGCAGGCCAGGTCCCCAATATGGGGTGCTCGAGGTAGTTCTCTCCGCTCCTCTAATTTAAAATGCCCAGTGAGAACCACATAGTTCTCTCCTCTTTCTCCTTCTCTTCCCCTCTTTCTAAAAAATAAATAAATAAAACCTTTAAAAGAAAATAAAGGCTTAAAAAAAAATGCTTCCTTGACATCTCCACTGGGTGTCTGTGAGCTTTCAAACGCTGTATGTCCAAAGCAGAGTTCCTCATTGTAGCTCAATCCAAGCTTGCCTAACTCCTTCCATCTTCCTCTTCTCAAATAATAGCAGCTCAAATCTTGGAGCTCTGATAGAAACTTAGGGATGATCCTTGAGCTCTCACTGTCACTCCTTACATTTGATTTCTCAGCAAATCCTGGCCGCTCTGCTTTCCAAATCTAGCCAAAATCAAACACTTCAATCAAACACTCTCCTTTATAGCTCTCACCCTGGTCCAGACACCACCAGCTCTTGCCTGGATTATTGCAGTCTTCTCACTGTTTGGGCTTCTGTCATTGACACCTTATGCTATATACCAGAAGGCATTTTAAAGCAAATGATTTCACCATTATGTAAGTTGTCTGTTGTAGGTTTATTGAAAATGCAAAAAAAGGGGGGGCTTTCAATTCCTAGTTCACTCACAGATTTTTATTGTAAATAAATGTTTATTGTACACTTTTTCTGTATCTATAGAGATAACCATATAATTTGTCTCGTTTAATTTAAAATGCCCAATGAGACTTGGCCTGTGTGCCTCAGTTGGTTGGAGCATCACTCCATGAACTGAAGGGTCATGAGTTCAATTCCGATCAGGGCACACGCCTGGATTGTGGGTTCGGTCTCCCATTGGGAGGCGTGAGAGAGGCAAATGATCAGATCTGCATTTCCCTTCTCCTCTTCACCTCTCTCTACAATCAGTATTTAAAAAAATGCCCAATGACATAATTTTTTTTCTAATTTAATAATAAATTTTATTTCCACTCAAGATAAATCCACCTTCTTTATGGTACTTTTTTAGATTGTGGCACTTTGTTAATCTTTTTAAACTAATATTTTATTTAGAATATTGCATTTTGGCTATAAAGTGTATTGGTCTATAATTGTCCTTGCTTACAGTACTGTCTTGACCAAGTCTGGTTATGTTGTTTTCCTTGTAGGAATCTTTTAAACTTATAATAGACTATTCAGGTGTTCCATTTCTTCTCAAGTCAATACAGGTAAGCAGACTTTCTCTGAGAATTTATTCATGTATTTGAGTTGTCAAATGTATTGGCCTACAGTTGCTCCTAATGTCCTCATATAATTTTGTCCCCCTCTTTGTGGATTTCAAATGCAGAGGTTTGAGTTATGCATAGTCTTTGACTGACACCAATCCATGTAAAGTCTCTCTTTTTCTTTCTTCTCTTTAATTCCCATTCCCCTACCTCCACAGCCTATGGGTTTGTATAGATCTTTTTATTTGATATTAACATAACTCTTCCAGTTTTCCTTATGTTATGGTAACCTTTGAATATTTTTGTACATCTCCTGAACTTGACATTTTCTGCCTTGTTTAAGATGTGTCCTTAGAAAACAAAAAGAACTCTACTTTGTATTTTTCAAACATTCCAATAATCTTGCCTTTTACTGACAAGTCTTGTCTATTTACATTTGTAATGCTTACTGATATGTTGGATCTGATTCCATCTTTCTACAGACTATTTGTATAGAGTCTGAGGGTTCTTTTTTAAATTTAATTATTTTTTAAAAGACATTAATTTGTTGTCCCACTTATTTATGCATTCATTGGTTGGTTCTTGTGTGTTCCCTGATTGGGGATCAAACCTTCAACCTTGGTTGAGGTGATGCTCTAACCAACTGAGCTACCCAGCCAAGGCTGAGGATTCTTTTACTTGCTTTTCCTCTCTTGTCTCTCTTGCCTTTTTATAAAATTGTTAAACATTTTTTCTCAATTCATTTTTTCTCTGATTTTACTGAAACTTTGTTCTCTGTGTATTTTTGTGGTGGGCTTGCTGGCCATGTTAAGTGGCATACTTAAGCAATACCTTTAACATATCCCAATCAACTAAGACAGTTTAATTCAGAACTCACAAGCCTTATTTGTCCAGTATTTGATATATCGATTGGTTTTTTTGTCTACAAATCAGGCATTATGGTTGTCGTCATTTTGCCTGTGTTGATATATATACCCAGGTATACAGCAACATCTTTGCTTGTAACTTACATTCACTGAGACTTTGAATCTCAAATGAATGTGTATGTCTGAAGATCTTTGAAATGTCCTTCAATAATAAAAACCCTAAGTTGATAATCTCTAAATTTTTGTTTACCTGAAAAGAAATATATTTCCCCTGGCTCCTGACCAGTAGTTTCACTGAGTATACAATGCTAGGTTGATAATTATTTTTTTTTCTTGGTTCACCAAACATATTCCACTGTCACTTTTTTAAAAAGACTTTATTTATTTACTTTTTAATTTACTTTTATTTAGAGAGGGTAAGGGAGGGAGAGAGGGAGAGAAACATCCATATGTGAGAGATATGTGCATCTGTAGCCTCTGGCTTCCGCCCCAACTGGGGGCCTGGCCTCCAACCCAGGCATGTGCCCTGACTGGGAATCCAAGCAGCGACCTCTCAGTTCCCAGTCTAGTGCTCACTCCACTGACCCACGCCAGCCAGAGCTCCACTGTCACTTTCATTATCACTATTAAGAAGTAGAATCTCCAGCTAAGCATGATTTCTTGTGATCTGTTTTTATCTTTCTAGTTTCTTTTCAGAAATTTTTCCTTTTTCTTTGCTAGTTTGTAATTAATTCCATAAGATGTGTCTAATTGTGGACTTTTGTGATTTTTAATTTTTATTTTATTTTAATTTTTTTTTAGATTTTATTTATTTATCTTTAGAGGGGAAGGGAAGGAGAGAGGGAGAGAAACATCAATGTATGGTTGCCTCTCATGCATCCCCTGCTGGGAACTGGCCTGCAACCCAGGCATGTGCCCTGAATGGGAATGAAACCTCGATCTTTTGGTTCTCAGGCCCGTGCTCAATCCACTGAGCTACACTAGCCAGGGCTATTTTATTTTTAATCGATCTTTAGAGAGAAAGGAAGTGAGAGAGGGAGAGAGAGAGAAAAACATCAATTTGTTGTGCCACTTATTTATGCTTTCATTGTTTGATCCAAGCAATAATCTTTTATACTCACTCTTTTTATTGCTCTTTAGAACAGGGGTGTAAACTGATTTTCACCGGGGGCTACATCAGCCTCACAGTTGCCTTCAAAGGGTGGAATGTAATTTCAACTCCTTAACAGTTAAGGAGTAGTTACATTTATACAGTCCTAAAATTATTTCAGCCTTCATAATAATATCATACTCAAGCACACCATATGACATTTTAGGTGAAATGTTCTAATTAAAACTATAAATTATTACACCATATTATTACTCTACCAAGCACACTCTTAAAGAAGCATTTAAGAGTGTGCCACTTCTGCCACACTCTGTATATCCCCAATGTATACATATATCAAATCATTATGTTGTACACCTAAAACTCATACAATATTATATGTCAATTATATCTCAGTAAAAATGGAGGGAAATCTCTTAGTAATGTGAAAAAAGTTAAAATGATAAATTTTATATTTTATATACCTTATTACATTAAAAATGTATATTAATGATAAAAACACATGTACACTAACAAAAATCAGGAAAAAACTGAAAACAGAAGTTTAATAAGCTTTATTTATGATTTAACTTTAAGTAGATTTAAGTTTTAAAATAGATATATTACCACATAATTAAAAAATATAAATAAAATGTATAATGTGAATTGTTTTTCCCACTGTTGTCCCTTGTCCAAATGCTTCTCACTTAGTAATATTAAGTATTATTTTTTTTAAGATTATATCTTTAGAGAGGGGGAAGGGAGGGGGGGAGGAAGAGGAGAGAAACATCAAATGGTTGCCTCTCACACACCCCCAACCGGGGACCTGGCCTGCACCTCAGGCATGTGCCCCCACTGGAAATGGAACCGGTGACCTTTCAGTTGGCAAGGTGATGATGCTCCATCCACCAAGCTACACCAGCCATGGCATCTTCATTCTTTTTATTAAATCCTTCATTCTTTTTTATTAAATCCTTTTATATTCATTCTTTTATATTCATTCTTTTTTATTAAATCCTTACCTGAAGATGTTTTACTGATTTTAGAGAGAGGAAGAGAGAGAAACATCAGTGTGAGAGAGAACCATCAATCTGTCTGCCTCCTATATGAGCCCCGACCAGGGATCGAATCTGTACCCTAGGTATGTACCCTGGTCATACCTAGAATTGAACCCACAACCTTTTGGTATAGGAGACAGCACTCCAACCAACTGAGCCACCCAGCCATGGCCATTCTTTTAACATTCATTCTCATGTATACTTACAGACATGTTTATCAGCATACACAAGCAAATATGTTGCTATTTTATTTTCAGTTGATTCATTTAGATAATGGCTTTTCATTTTCTAGAAGCTTTAATACTTTTATACTTTTATAAACTTATGGGGCTTTGGAATAGTCATTTTCCACTAGTCATGGACCATTGACTCATGGCATTCCATTATGACTTACTCTAATGTAAATTTCATGCCCTGGTTGGTGTAGCTCAGTAGATTGAGCATGGGCCTGTGAAACAAAGGGTCACGGATTTGATTCCCAGTCAGAGCACCTGTCTGGGTTGCAGGCCAGGTCCCTAGTAGGGGACACGTGAGAAGCAACCACACATTGATGTTTCTCTCCCACTCTTTCTCCTTCCTGTCCTCTCTCTCTCTAAAAATAAATAAATAAAATATTTAGCCCTGGCTGATCTAGCTCAGTGGATTGAGCGCAGGCCTGTGAACCAAATGATCATGGTTCAATTCCCAGGCAGGGCACATGCCTGGGTTGCTGGCCAGTTCCCAGCAGGACACACATGAGAAGCAACCATACATTGATATTTCTCTCCCTCTGTCCTTCCCTTCCCCTTTAAAGATAAATGAATAAAATTTTTAAATTACACTAATAAAATTATACCACACCCAGCCTCTGTGACTTGCTTTATGTTCCTTACAATTGTCTCTAAGATTTATTCATGCTATATGTAGTTGTGATTCATTCATTTCTTCTGCAAGCCACTCACATATTGGTATAAATATACTAAAGTATATACTAAAGTATATTTATTCGTTGTCCAATCAATGGACTTGTGGACTTTCCAGTGTTTTTATTTTATTTGTTTTTTACCATTATACAGTGCTGGTACAAGCATTTGTGTACTCATTTCCTTTTATACTGCTGCAAAATTCCTAGGAATAGAATAGCAGGACCCTAGACCCAATGGACAGTCAACTTTACAAGGCAAAAGCAGCACAGGAAAGCCCCCTCGTGTCACTTCCTCTCAGATTCTCATATATTCAGAAGTCTTAAATTTTGTCAATCAAGTTTATGTGAAATGGAATCTCAGTGGAGTTTTAATTTGCATTTCCATGATTCCTGCTTAGATCGAACACCTTTTCAGATGTTGGAGCTATTTACAATTTTTTTTTATTACTGAGCTTAGGTGATCTGGCAGCAGAATTTAATACAACTAAGCTGCTGAATACTTTTTTTTTAATTTTAGTGTTTTGTATACACACACACATCTTTTCCACATGAAACAAAAATACAAAATATTGGTCTTTGGAGGTTGTAAGTACAAGGGTCTTCACTGAACTGTACTTGTTTTAGGGACTTTTCTTCTTTTGTAATATTTCAGTTTCAAATGTATAAAAAATTCAGAAAAAGCAAAATGCAAACAAACTCACTCCAAACTCATCCCCCACCCACCCACTTTTCATCTCAGCTTTTTCTAGCAACATTTTATTAGATTCCTGTATCTTTCCTACATTTGTTCATGCAAACAGAAACAAATACAAAGCTAACTATTTATCCTTTTTGTATACAAATGGCTTGGTACTTACACTGGTAGAATGCACCTTGCTCTTTGTCTATACTTTGGAGGCCACCCTGTCAGTTTATAGTCTCCTTGCTCTTAGCAGTTGCCTATTTCAAGCAAGTGATGGGTAGACCATCACTTGCTTAAGGGGTCTCCCATTGATTCTTACTTGAGTTATGAGTAATCTTTTGTTCTATAAACGAGGCTGCACTTAATCATCTTGTTTTGAAGTAATTTCACATGGCAGCAGGTATATTTTTAGGAAAAATTTCCATCAGCTGAATGATTGGGTTAAAGCTTATATATTATGAGACCCTACCAAATGCCCTGTACCAGGGTCTGACATTTGCGTCTGCACCAGATAGGAGTAGATGGAAGTGCCCATTTCTCCACAGCCTCTCTAACACAATTTCCCTGCTTACTGGACAGAGCACTTTAGTAGCTCTATGTCATTTTTTTTCCTTTTCTAAAAAGTTTATTTTTATTTTATTTTTCTATTACCATTTATTTGTCTTCCACCTTCCCTCACACCCCACCCTCCCACAATCTTCATACTATTGACCATGTCCATGAGTTCTCTTTTTGCTGTCTTATTGCAGTAAGGTTTGGCATGTATTCTTCACTTTTACCTTCTTGAATCTCTTTCTTCCTGTAGCTTTTTTTGGTCTCATTATTCTAATATTTTAGAGTTATTTTTTAATTCACATAAATAATATAATGTTGGTGATGATTAACAGCCAATACTAATAGAGCAGGTGCCAATGTGTGCCAGGTGTCTGGTAAGTTCTACAATGTCATTGCATCATTTGGCCCTCTCAGTACAATGAGGTGGGTATTATTTTCATCCCCATTTTATGAATGAAGAAAATGAGGCAGAGATGTTTGCCGTCTCGCTCAGGTCACATGGCTAGTATTCAAGGAAAAAGCGTTGAAATCTAGTCCTGTGTGAGCCCTCTGAAGCTACCCTCCTATACTTTTTTTTGAAGAAGGCAGTATTAGGGATTGCAGCACAGAGACGGGGTGGAAAGGTTATGGCCAGAGAAACCTGAGAGGGAGGATTCAGGCTCTGACACTCAAAAGGTGGGGACTTTGGTCTGGTGATTGCCATTCTCTGAATCTCGGTTTGTCCTTCAAACGGGGGTAGGGTATCATTATGAAGTATGCAGGGATTCGCACACAGTACATGTCCGACTATAGAGTATACATGCAATAACTGTTTCCGTGTCAGGCACTGTTCTCGCTGGCAAACACAGCAGTGAACAACAGATAAAAATCCGTGGCCTTTAAGGAAAAACAAAAATTTAGCAATGCATATCATGTCTCAGGTGGTCAGTGCTGGAGAATAAGAGGGCAAGGAAGGAGACAAGGAGTTGGAAGGTAGGGTGGTGGTCGCGATCAGTCTCACTGAGGTGACATTTGAGTTAAGGCCTGAAAGATATGAGGGAGGAGCTATGATGGGAACTGAGTGCATTTCACGCAGAGGAAACACGAGAGCAAAGCCCCTGAGGTGGGGATGTGCCTGAATTGTTTGTGGTGCAGTGCAGAGTTCATCTTGCCTAGGGAGTGAGGGAAGGAGCAGAAGATGAGGTGTGGGAGGTCAAATGGCAAGGTCATGCAAGTCCTCTAGTTTGCGGTGAGAACTTTCTTCTGAGCTAGATGGGAGGGGAATGGAGAGAAGCGATCTTTCTATCACCAAGAGGTAATGGGTGGGTGGAAATGGGTTGCAGCCGACGTTCACAGGCATTGAGATCTCTACGCCGCTCAGTACAGAGGCCTGGGGGCGCCATGAAGTGAGGTGGCATTTGGAAGGCTTCAGCACTCTGGACAGTTCCATCAATGTTGCCTGGCGACAAGGGATGCTGCTGCTCTGTGGGTAGAGCGGAGGCAACCTATTAAAAGCGGCCCTCTGCATGCACCCTATGGGAGTGTGGCAGGGGCGGGGCCTAACGGTCCCATTTAAGTGACTGCAAAGATACGAGCCTCTCGTCCCTGGGCAGGGCCTATAGAATGCTTTCATTTGGGCGGGACATGCTGATTAGGCAGGAAAGGGAACGAGTGTTAAGGGCGAATATGAGGTTGTTTGTAAAGGGTAATGTTTGCAGCAATGTGGTTTCCGCAGATTTCTGCTCCCCTCAAGTGGAGGCCGGCACATCATCCCAGGTTCGTAACCACGATTGGGGATGCTCTGTACATTCCCGAATTTTCCAGCTGCTGCCCAGGAAGAGTCCCGGACACTGGCTACCAGGTGGTTGGCCTCAAAGATTTCCCTAGACTGAGAAAAGGGCAGGAGTTAGATTTACGAGTTCGGAATGAAATGTCCAGGAACCTGGAGGGTTTACTTTTTTCATCTAGGGGTGGAGTGTACTCCTGTGATTTTTTTTCCTTTCTATAGATTTTATTCAGATGGGAAGGGAAAAGAAAGGGAGATATGCCCTGGCTGGTACGGTTTAGTGGACTGAGTGCCAGCTTTCGAACCAAAGGGGGAGGGAGGGCTGGCTGGTTGATTCCCAGTCAGGGCACATGCCTGGGTCCTAGGCCAGGTCCCCAGTGGGGAACGCGTGTCGAGGCAACTGTACATTACTATTTCTCTCCCTCTTTCTCCTTCCCTTTCCCTCTAAGTAAAATCTTCAAAATAAAGAAAAACATGGATGTGTGAAGGCACATTGCTCAATTTTCCCCAACCTCCACACATCCGCAACTGAGGGATCCGGACCTGGCTGGCAACCCAGGCACGTGCCCCAACTGGGAATTTAACTGGTGATCTATTGGGTGACATTCGACCCACTGTGCCGAACCACCTTCAGTTATATTTTTGCCCCACCTCTTTCCCAGCTCATCTGCCAAGAGGCTGAACTTAGGCATCACCTTCTTGAGTGATACTAAGACCAAGGATAGGACTTGCAATCTCTAGGTAATGACCTCCATGGGTCACTCCCTAGCCATCCCTGCTCCTCTCCCCACAGCAGAGACGCTGTGTCTGGGCTTTCCCCAGTCCTGTATCCTGAGGCAAGACAATGGCCCCTACTGGGCCAGTCTATTTGTCTGGGACATTGTTTTTAGCCATATTGGGTCTGTGAGCTGTCCCCTTACCAACTCCAGTGGACTCTGTCACCTAAGTCCCCTTGAACCTTACAGCTTGGATGTTCCAGAAATCAAGCCTCATTGCTGGTCTGCTGCCCTTTTTCTCACCTCTCCCACACATCTATTCTCAGCCCAACAGCCAAAAAGACTGTTTTTAAGAGCGATTCAGCCTGGGGGCTTCCCAGTTCACAATCCTTTATAGCTGTAAATTACCCTCAGGATCAATTGTTCTCTCTGGCTGGCTGTCCAGGCATTTCACTGATGCCTCTTGCTGACATAGCCACACTTCTCCCTTTTTACAACCGAACACCTCCACTCACCTGACTTCAAGGCTATTCCCACCCCCCCCAGCTGGTTTGTGCAAGCTGCTGCCTCTGCACATCAGACCCTTCTCTCACCCTAACACACCTCAGTTCAAGCATCCTGTCTCATTTGAAATACAAGAAGACTTCCCTGACATTCCCTGCCTAAATGGGACTGCACCATCTTGGCGCCCAGAAGCTCCACTGAGCAGGGACCAAGTTCACTACTAAAGTTTCAGCACCCAGTACAGGAGTGATACATAAGCAACATCCAATAAATACATGTTGAGTGAATAAAACAGTGAACACAAGAAGTTTCCATTTATTCCGGAATGGGTTAGAATGAGCATCCATCTGGGCCAAAGTTTGCTGCAATAGGCCCACAGCCAGCATAAGGCTCATACCTGGAGCCTAAATCCTCAGGATGACAGCCCAGCTGCAGACAGCCAGGCTCAGAAGGGAAGGCCCTGCTGACTACACAGAATGGTCAATGGTCCATGGGAGAGTGAGTGCCAAGGTAACTGGGCAGCTAGGTGGTAACTTCCAAGTCAGACTGGACCACAGCCCCAAGGGACACCAGAGCTCCAGGAACTCTGCCAAATACAAAGAGGTGATATTCTCAATCTATGTCCCATTACTGCTCAGAGGCCCCTTTGCTCTTAATCGCTAATCCCCAACACCCCCTCACCAATCAGTCCACATTCCTGGAAAGGCCCCGCCCCCTCCCTCACATGTCATCTTGGCCCACCATGCTCATATCCAGCTGTCCTGTCAGTGGTTTGGTTTCCTTTCCTTCCTTCCCTCCAAAGGCATCCTCTGGAGTGTTGTGTGCAATCTTGGGTTGCTGACGCCCAGCCTAGTCACCAAACACCCTCTTGATCAACTTGCTGAGTAAACATACAGGCCACTGGTTCTTTCTGGTCATGCTCCTGGTGCTTTCTGCTGGTGAAAGATGCATGACATTGTCCTCCAGCAACATATGGGACAAAGTATCTCCATCATAGGCCATCCGTTGCCCAGCATGGCCCTAGCTGGGGTGGTGGAAAAGCAGCTCAGGAAGGCCTTCCTCCAGGCTGGCTTCCTGGGTTTGGGTGGCAACAGGCCTGGGAAGGTCTTGGTTAGCTTTGAATGGGTATGCAGCAGCAAGGCCTTCACCATGCTTGAGGTGGCAGCCACATCTTCCCAAACCCAGCTTCCTGGAGCAGTAGGTTGTGAGAGTTGGGATACTGCAGTCAGCCAGCTGCACCCCCAGGCCCATCACCACCAGTGAGATGCCCAAGCAGCATTAGGGTGCCAAAAGACCTGTGCTCATGAGCTGTCCCCTTAGGACAGGTACCCACGGTGCTGCAAAGATTCTGCTGGCTCCGTTGTCCAGACTTGATCATGGTGAACTTGACTGTGGCCAACGAACTCCCTGGACTGTGCCAGCAGCCTGATGGGTGAAACCTTCGCCCAACACTATAATGGGTTGAACAGTATCTCCCAAAAGGTATTTCCTCATTTTAAACGCTGATGCCTGTGAATCTGGAAATAGGGTTTTTGTAGATGGAGTTAAGGATCTTGAGATGAATTAGGATGGGCCCTAATTCCAATGACTTGTCTCTTTGTTTAAAAAAAAGATTTGAGACACAGACTCACATTCAGGAATTTGAATGTGGTGGTGGTGGTTGCTATTTGGGAAACTGACTGTGAGAAGAGACCTGTGTTGACAAGGCAGGTCCAGAGTTTGAAGGCATTTAGCAGGCAAAGCAGGGGGCTCCTCTCTGTGGATTTGAGCGACACAGACTCTGTCCACAGACTGTATCCTATTATCTCCAACACAAAGTCCCAATGACCTCACCCGAATCTCTGTGTCCCAGCCCTTGTACATGTTATGGGAGAGTAACTGGGGTGGATATCCATCTTCAGTTCAGTCTCCTCAAGTGATCCCAAGGCACTTCAGTCTGACCCAAACGTTCACACAGTGGGCCACCTCTTAGATGGACTTCATAGGGCCCCTCTCACTAGGCTGGACCACTTAGTATCAGAGACCTCCTCTGCTGCAGCAGAATGCAAATATTTTCCAATGTTGTATTTTTTAGTGCAGAACACCTTTCCTTCCGCTCTCCCAGAAAGCAGGTCTTCATCCTCTGAAGGCACACTGGAGTTTCTGCCTCAGCTGAGTGATCCTGCATCAAGAATGGTTTGCACTTCTCCCAGTGGGCATGGCTAACCAAGCATGGGAGGCCAAAGGGCCTCCTTGGCCTTAGGCCACAAACAGCGCCTGGTCTGAGAGGGTGAGAGTCAGCAAGTCAACAGGGGTCCCAGGGGAGGGGCAGACCAGGCCTGCCCCTCAGGACTCTTACCATACAGGCTACCCCTGGGGTAGGGACAGAGTTGAGATTGGCAGCTTGGATGATGGTTCCTACGCCTCTGCACTGCTGATGTTTCAGAGCAGAATGTTCTGCACGATCCTTGGCTTTTACCCATTACATGGCAAGTCTCCTAAGCACTACAAAATTGCCTGGGATTGAGAAAGAGTGCTCTAGAGAAACAAACCTGCTGGAACACAGCTGGGCCATTACAGAAAGCCCCATCTGCATACTCTGAAATTCTGGGTGGAGGAGGTAACAGAGAGGAAAGCTGTGGCTGTGGTCGCCACAGTGTGCCAACCTAATGTAGATGATTCCATGGTTGGAGTTCCCCACATTTTGGGGTGCCTCAGCCAGTTTTAAATCAGGATTTTTCAAATTAGGATCTGTGCACCAAACTTAATCTGTGGTAACTTCTGACTGCACTTACACTACACCCAGAATCCATGGCATAGAAATCAAGGCGTGCTGAACTGTGGGATCAAACCCTAAACAGCAGGCAAAGGCCACTAAGCTGTTATGCAGACACTAGGGGGATGACGCTCATTGAGACACAGGGGCTATAAGATTCCAAATTACTGATTGCTGGCCCCAGGCAACTCAGAACAAAGATGTTTATAAGCCTGGAGCTGGACCCTAGAGCCTCTCTGATTAAGAGACCATCCTGCCACCCGCGCCCCACTTTCCGGTTCTGGGAACAAAGCAGAGGAACCTGCCCATTACACTACCGGAGGGTCAGACACCCAGGCCTACGATGGCGCAAATTTCTTTCTTTTTCTTTATTCGTCTACATTCAGCTGAATTCAGATGTACTGCCTGAATGATCCAGACATACAAAACCCCCCCCCACTCTTTCCCACTGGTTTTTAAAATAAAATCTTCACTTATAAAACTGAAACACTAAAGCATTAAAATACAGAAAGCTCGTTTAACTCACTTCACAAAAGCATTAACAGATGAGGTATCCCTTCTGTAACTATTTCAAGACAAACTGAGTTAACGCTAACACCAATTGTAAATAGACAGAGGGATACTTAACTGTAAGAACTCAGAACTCTACTTGGACAAAGTTGTAATGGCAACTAACGAACCACTGAAGACGCGGAGTCCCAAACACAGCTAAATATGGGTCACAGAACAGGTCACAGAGTGACCAGCTGCACCTCACAACACAGCAACGTGGACGGGGTAGGGCAAGAAGACCCAGAGGGGCCGCAGACATGTTAACTGTGATGCATAAAACTGAATCTTACAACAAGGAGGGGTAAGTGCTGAAGGTACAAATCTTCACCCTCAGGGCTTTATCTGTACTGGTAGTTCATGCTGTGGTCTGCGTTCCTGCCATAGCCTCCCTGTGATGACTGGTAGGAGCTGGGAGGGCCGCTGTAATTCTGGCCGGACCCCGGGGAGTTGTAGTTCGACTGTGACGAGTAGCCTCCTGAAAGAGAGAGGGGTTGGGGATCAGCCCAGTCACAGAGGTGTCACCAGTGGGAGCTCTAACTAAGTCTCTCTCTGAGCACCAGACTGTTTGGCTCTCAGTACTGCCAGCATTTCATGTAGGTGTCAACATTTAGAGAAGGGCAATTTCTGGATCTCTGGCTTCTGAAAAGCCAAGAAGCTGGACGTATACCTAAGTCAGTACTTGCATGACATCCCACGTACCCCCGTCTCCTGCTTCCTGTTCTTTCCCCACACAGAAACCAAGCAGCAGCTGCCACTGTGACCCTGCCCAGGCTGCTATCTGCCCAAGCCAGGACATGCTCCTCTGTGTAGCTCTGGGCCCTCCCCACCATGCTGTGTCACCTGTTGCTCCAGGCCCACCTTGTTTGCCTTGATAGGAGGAGCCGCCCCCAGAACCTCCTCCGTAGCCCCCATGTGACCCTGGGTTGTAGGATGACCCGCCTGAACCGTAGCTGTTACCGCCGCTTCGGCCTCCGCTACCACTGTAGTCTGGGAGGGGAAAGAAGACAGTGTGGTTAAGGGGCCTTGTGCTGTAGCCCTGGATGTGGCAGGCCCTTTGTGAAGACCCTAGAACTTTGCAAATGTCCTTATGCTCAGTGCCAAGGGCTGGCTGGAGTCCCACACGGTAACCATGCCCTGGGCTGGCTGGATTCTGAAGCCAAGTTCCACCCCACCTTCCTACCTACTCCTCCAACCTAAGCTTTTCAACAGTTCAGGAACCACAGAGCTAATCTAAGTCTTGGCCTCCACTACTGAGTGTCCCATCACTAACTATCGTACTCCTATCCTTCCCTAGGTGGGCCATCAGCACAGTGCAGCCCACAAATTCTGTGCGTAAAATGGACTAAGGAGTAATTACAGCTCATTTAGGGGCTGGATGTAACTGTCTCCAGAAGTCACCTCCCAGTGTCTGGCCCAGACTCCACCCTTGTGGCCTAGCCTCATGGACCTCTGAAGTCTAGGAGCCTCTGCCTCCAGGTTTGTCCCAATGCCCACCCTGCAGCCAATGCCTCCAACTTCCAGTCCCTCAGCCAGAGGTGGACTTCTAGGGGACTGGATGCCAACTCACTGAATTTGCTCTCGTAGCTGTAGTCAGAGCCACCCCCGCCCCCGGGGGAGCTGTAGGAGTTGGAGTAGGAGGAATAGTTGCCTTGGCCATGACTATAGCCTTTTTGTTTGCCCTGCGGGGGGCCATAGTTGCTGTACTGGCTCTGGTTGTAGGACTGCTGCTGGCCTGGGTGGGACTGGTAGCCTGAGCCGTAGGAGGGCTTCTGCTGGCCCCCATGGGGCTGCTTCTTCCCGGCATGTTTCGGGGGCACTGGGGAGTTGTAGTTGTCGCCTTGGTAGTAGGAGCCGTAGCCGGAGGAGCCACCACCGCCCCCGCCGCCGCCACCGCCGGCATTCCCAGAATGCCCTCCATTGCTGTAGAACTGACCTAAACAGGAAGGCATCTGGTCAGGTGGAGGATTAGGGAGATAAGAGTGGGGGGATGGAGGGGGAGGAAGGGAAGTTCAAAGCTGTGGGTCCTGAAGGCTGACCCACCAGCCCACTGCCCAGGCAAGGGCAGAGTGAAAGAGGTGGGAGAGCAAGGAGCAGCAGCTCCAGTCCCTAAAGCAGCCTAGTCTGGGCTGGCCCAGCCTTCAGCTCCACTCACCCATTAGCTGATGACAACAATGGATCTTTGCCAAGCAGCGGCACGGCAGCACGCCGAGAGCAGCTTTTGCAGCAGATGTCAACGTTACAATGAGATGGGCTTCGAGCGCAGGATGACATTCACAACTAGCTGACTGCTACCCAAATGTTCCCAACGATGACAGGAAAAGCAAAGCCCCAGAGAAGCAGCCAGCCCTCCCCTGCTGTGCTGGGAAGAGGCCTGGCAGTCACAGGCTTGGGTGACCCTAGGAAATGCTTTTTAACGAAGTCCCTGACACCGGTGTCATTACTGGGAGACCAACTGATCTGACCTGGTTCTTGGAGAACCAGGAATGGAGAGTGAAGCCAAATGACCTGGGGCTCCTCCCTGATGGGATTTATATAAGCACAAGACTTAAGGAATAATTCCATCACCTCCCAAGGAAAGAAGACTGAGGCTGGGATCAGAACATCCAGGTGGTCCCCCAGAGGGCCCCTCCTTGTTCCCAGCACAGCTGCTGGGCTCAGGCAGGACTGAGCAGCAGAACTGACAAGCGTGCAGCAATGCAGCCACATTCTCAGGCCCTAGAGCTGAGAATGTCACGGAGAGCCCCCTCCCTGCTCATTAGGTAAGGACCCCCAGAACACTGGTTTGTCAAGACACTGCTCCTACCAGACACTCAGGTGGACCTGTGGGAGATGAATCAGCTAAGGCGAGTGGTGAGGGGAAGGATGGGTGCTGTGGGTGCTGGGCAATTTCCAGTGCTCCCGCAGGGGTGGTGGAGCCACTAGGCTCCCAGAGTAGGTAGGGCTTTGCTGGTTGGTCTGAGTCTGCCCAGTGTGGATAGGAGGGGGAGAAAACGCTCCCACACAGCCTGTCCCTTCCATATTTAGCACCAAAGATCCCTTGCCTTTGGGGTGAATTTGGGAGTCCTCATGAGCCTTCCGCCCACTGAAAATGTGCACTCCACAGTGGTGTGCTTGGGTTGTTTGAATAGCAGTTTGGATAGAACTGGTCTCTGCCATGGGTTTATTTTCTTCAGGTAGGCAGCCTCCACCCTACACCAACCCCCATCACAAAGCCAAGGACAAGGATGTGTTCCACAGTGCAAGAGAGCAAACACATGAGGAGGTCATGACAAGAGGTCCTCTTTAGGCCCCCTCTTAAAACTCTGCCATATCGGCTGACCCTCGGCCTGCACTGAGCGTCTTGCCTCCTTACCCCTCCACAAGCACGGGAATGAATGAAGACGCCAAGTAGTTAGGACTTGTTACTTTAACATGTATTGTAAAAAAAAAGGGGGGGAGGGGAGGGAGGGGAAGTTTTCAACGTCATTCAGGATAACTATTTCCTGGTATAAAAAGACATTATTCTCAAACAATAACTTTCTAAAAAAAAAATACATCATGCAATCAAAGTTTTAAAAAGTTTCACTGAATGTTTCAAACCTCTGGGAACAAATTATGCAGTAACCATTTTGACCAGTTTTTGCCTGAATAAACACAAAATCTTGCAAGTCAACACAGAGGCAGGATTTGCTGCAAAAAGAACTGCTGACCAGAGCCAAAACCAGATTTGTTTCCAGAGACTCCCATCAGGAAAAAGGAGCTGAGTCAAGAGGCCCAATTGCCTTTCTGTGGCTTTGCACACAAGGAGAAGCAATAACTCAAGTCTGCACCCTAAGGTGAGAGGGGTGGAAGCTTCCAGAGCTTCTAAAATCTGCCACAGCTGCATACCCAGCAGTACAGGCCCTGCTGAGACAAGTTATTCACTGGAGAACTGAGCTACATATCAGGCTCTTTCTGCTAATTTTTAAAGCCCCTTAAAAAAATATTCTAGAATCCCATGCATTTGTAACTGTAACTAGGACTTGCAAAATTCTGTATTATCACTCCCTTCAGCCTGTCTATTTCTTGCACTAAATGATGGAAGCACAGTTTTGATACCTTTGAGAGTTCATCTCTAGCTAAACCAGCCACTAAATGTTGCATCCCCAAATACAAACCCACCAGAGCATTTACAAGAGGCAGGATAGGTTAACTTAGCACAATATACAATCCCCCAATGTTCCCAACGTTTCACATGCTCATATTATTTTTAAAAAAGAAAGCAAAGAAAAGCCGGTTGCTCTGGACTTGGATGTGGTGAAATGGTTTTCATCACTGTCAAAGGCATCAACCAGATTTGGGAATTTGTTAAAAGGTTAAAAATTCATACAAAACCTGCTGTAAATTAAGACAAAGGTAGATTAAAATGCATCATTATCTGTCTCTTAAATAAAGTAATGCTTTCCATAAAAAGCAAAGGTGGGCTTTTGCCTTGATGCTGACCAACGCTGGCTCTAGAATTCTGTGCAATTCTGCACAAAAAAATGCATTCTCTGAAAATTGTTTTCCACTTATTGTGAACTTCAATATGACCAAGTTCAAAGGCAAATCACGATAAAAACTGCCATTGTCTTAAATTCTGCAGGCTAAGAGTTTCAGACAAGCTGCGGTGACAAGCCACGGTTGAGAAACCCAGTGAAGCACAGGGGCACAGCACGGACACTTTAGGTTTTGGAGTTCGAGAAAATTGGAGTAAAAAGTTGATTTTGTGTGCAATACTTTTAGATGCTCTAGGAAGACCCAAAATCATGATAGCCGTAGCAGTCTGTGAAAAAGTCACCTACAAAAGGGGGAGACAGAGCAGAGAAAAAAAATTAGAATTCTTTTGAAAAATGGCACAGAGCGCCACATATGAAATTCATGTTTTAGATTTCTCTGCTCCTGTAACCCCCCAATGAAGGCTCCTTCTCAAGACAAGAGCTGTGCACTGTCAGGAAAAGCATATTCACAGTACTGGTGCTTCATTCACATGGCTTAAAGCAGAGAAATTTAAAATTTTGACTTTCAAGGAACTTTCAAGTCACACAAGTGTATGTGTTAACATTTACAAAGTAAATCACACTTTTGCAAAATGGGGAGGGCTGGGGCCTTGAGGACCACCTGATCTAATCACTGAGAACAAGTGTGGGCAACTCAGAGGTATCAGGGAAGCTGCTTCTGGCGGGCCACCCTGCTCTAACTCAGGCATGGGAGCTATACTGCAGCTTCTTCCCAAACTCAGACCAAGAGAAATACACACTTACTGTAGCCGGCTGTTGCAGAATTGCCTCCGTATCCATAGCTGCCATACCCCGCGCCTAGAAGGAAACAGACAGGGTTACTGGGGCTAGAGGGAGGGAGTCTCCCCCACACCTGCCTCTCCCAGCATCACAGTCCAACCCCAGTGACCCCATACTCCCCAGGGAGCAAGATAAGCTCACAGGGATAGTACAGGGTAATAGTCCTCACCAGCATTCATGTAGCCTCCATGGTTGGCACCACCAAATCCTCTCCCTCTCCCTCGACCACGAATGTTCCCTCCTCTTCCCCGCCCTCGAAGGTTCGGGGGAGGGGGCACTTCATTGTGCATGGGGCCTCCCATGCCAAAGCCAGGGTTATGCGGCTGGACAGGAGAGAACAGACAAATTACATTCGCCTCAGCCTTAGATCATAGACAAACCAAAGCCTAGCTCAAAGATGCCAGAGGCAACCAGTTACCTTAGCAGCAAATTTCGGTCCACCCCTGACAGGCACAGGTGCTCTCTTCTTCTTATTGGCTTCAAGGGCCAGAGGAGCATCTGGGAACAACTTTTCTAGTGCAGCAAGGGCAGCATATGCTTTTGCCACCTTTTTGTTTGAGCCAGCACCTTGAAACTTCTGTCCATCTACCTCGACCTGAGTGGGAAGAATGGACACATATCGGAGGTGACCCAAAGCCTCCCACTAAGGCAGGGGGGGGACTCTCCAAAGATGCCAGGCTTTTACACAAACTGCTCTAGGACCACTCACCTCCATGACAAAGCGCTTGTCATGGCTGCCACCAGTCTCTGAGATGAGCTCATACTTGAGGCCACGTCTCTTCTCATTAAGCTCCATGACAGGGTTCTTGCCATGCTTGGTAAGGATCGGCCCCTGCTGTTTTACGTTCTCAGGGAAAACAGAAAAGAAAACCAACATACTCAGCTAAGGGCTGTCCAGCATGTGGAGGGCAGCTGCTTCTGCATTATGGCCCTCCACTCTGAACCATGCTGTCCCATACCACCCTCACCCCTCAAAGTCATCTGTGAGCCTCCTAGCGATAGCATGACCCCCACCTGTACTTTCTCCCTCTGGGAAATAGCCTGTCCTTGACTGAGGGCCACCCTAGTGCAACCCTGAGTGCTGGGTCAATATCAGCAAACCCCTCAGTAGTAGCTTAAAGGCTCACACCCAGCTCCCCCTGTAGGCTCCCCAAGTGGAAGGTGACTCCTTTGGTGGGGGGGGGACACAACAAAAATCAACAACCGTACGGGCTCGAAGGACACAAAGCCGCCTGCTCCATCCCATCGGGCACTTCGGCGCCCACCATGGGCTCACCTCGGCACTGGGATCTGAGGTGAAGGCAGCACTGGGGGTCGAAGTGGCTTCTACCACAGGCGGAGGGGCCACCACGGCTGGCTTGGCCTCCGTCTCCTCAGCTGAGTCCTCCCCCTTATTGGAGTCTCTACCTTCAGCACCAGTAGGCAAGCCCATGTCCTGTAACACCTAGGAGGAAGACCCGCAAGGCCCCCAGTAAGGGATGGGGTTCAGCACCTGGGCACCCTGAATCTGATGCATCCTAGGAATCCTAAGGTGTTATCCAGCGATCTGAAGGCATCTTATTCCTTTAGCTCTGCACATGCCCAGCCATGGGTAGACACCCTCTGCCTGACAGCCATGATGACAAATGCATTCTTGACTCATGTGATTTGACAAACATTAAAAAAAAACAAAACAAAACAAAACAAAACAAAACAAAACAAAAAACCTAAGCATTTTAGTGTTTGCACCTAGGGCTTAAATAAGAGACAACAGCTCTAAAGAAGGTGCCGATGAAGAAAGTGCTTTTACTGTCTGAAAGGACAGGGGCTGAACAATACCCCCAGCCACCCTACCTTAACAGCCACATGTAGCTTGGCAGTCTTTTTGGATGGTCCGGAGGCCTCGAATGAGCTGCCGTCTACTTCCACAGACATGGTGAAGATGGGGGCGTGGACTGGCCCCGCCTGGGAAACCAGTTTATACTGCAACCCGGGCTTCAGCTGGTTCAGCCTCATTAGGGCATTCATAGCCTGGGGAGGCTCTGCCTTCTCCTCTAGAGAAAGACCACCAACATCACTCTGGAAACCAGTCAGTTCTGAACCAGGGAGGGGAACTCTTCTGATGGCTTTTTGTTGCTGGACACAATGGACTGGGCAGCCCCACATTCCAAGGCCTTGCCTATGGTGATCCCAGATACACGCCACCCCTGGGGTCACCAGCTGGGGCACATCTATTCCACTTGAGTGCTGTACCCACATTATACGTAATCATTTAAAAAATGACTTAACTCATATATGATGTCTGGAAAAAGTAAGGCATCTCCCCACTTGTATGTTAAATAACTTTAACTGATAGCTAAAGGAGGATAAAAAAAAAAAGACCCCAGAACAAATGCCTATACCTTTCTTCTGAATCTTCTTCTTCTTTTTGCTGGGAGATTTTTCCTCTCCATCCTCCTCCATTGGGCGTTTCATTGGTGTAATGGCATAGGTGGTACTAGGGGGGATTTGAACTGTAAGAGATTAGGACAGAAGTGGCTAAGAGTCCAGCCAGGTGCTCTGTGGGGAGTCCACAAGGCCACTGTCGAGCCTGGAACCCTTAGCACACTTACCCGTGTAGTCCACTGGGTTTTCATTCTTTGGTTTCTTGGGCATCTTAGAAGGCAGAGGATCCATGCCCAGGACTTTATGCAGCTGGCCAAATGCAGCTAATCGCAAAGCATGCTGGAAAAGGGAAAAAGGAACAGGAACCTGATTCAGCTGTCCTGTGCTCCTGGCCAAGGTATGTGCGCTTGCTAGTGCCTTCTGTAAGGGGCAGGAGCTGAGGGGGTTGCTAATGGTCTCCCCTACAACAGCAAGGGTTCCCCCAACAGCCAAGGGAGGGCCTGATGCCAGGACCCAGACTTGCTGTGGGGGAAGACCAGCCTATGACCACCCACCTTGAGAGGAGGAATACAGGAGACCCCAACCTGGGGACTGGTTGCCACACGGAGCCACGTGGTAGGCCTGTTAAGGGAAGGACCCCTGCAATAATCTGTACAACAAATATATATCCCCGCTGAACTCGATGTCTGAAAATAGCACTCGAGCAGGCTGAGGGGCAGGCTACAACCATGCGTGGCGCCAGGGGAAAGAAGCAGCCCAGGTTGGGGCTCCCTGTATCAGTCATAATCCCTTCGCCTTCATTCCCCGACCTGAGCCTACAAATCCAGTGGCGACCCTGAGAATACCCAGTAATGGAACTAGAAGCCAGTGATTACAGACTGGGTAAGGGCTCACAGTGGCAATGGCGATGACTATACCTGCGCACTCTGTGTGATATCTTCCCGTTGCTGTCTGTCTAGATGCCCAATAGCATCAGTGGCTTCTTTTTCACAAGGGTCATAAATGCCAGAACCATCTGAAGGCAGGAAACAAGGAAGATATGCAGAGGATTATCTTTTAGCATCTCGGAAGAGTTGTACTGGCTGAGGGAACCATATGCGTTACCCCCCCGCGCCCCATCCACACCCAGCTCTGGAAAACACGCCGAGCTCGGTGACCCACTCAGCATCCAGCCCATGAGAGAAATAATCCACATGGGTCTCAGAGCAAGAAGCTCACATGGGAGTGGGTCACCATTGCCCCGGATCCGCCCTGAGTCTCAGCTGCGGAGCCGGCACAGGGCTGGATATGATGGTGCAAGAGGGTAGTCACATGCTTTAGCCCTAGGGGGGGGGACATGGGGCTACGGCTGCCCTAACCCAGTCAGGGAACCCGCCAGGAAGTGGCCTCAGAGCCTTGATCCCTGTCCTTTCCTTGAAACTTGCAAAGCACAAGCCCCCAACCTGGCATCACGATGCCCGAAGCCAGGCATTCCAGCACTCTCCGCAGGGCCTCGCCAGCACCCATGGGTCTGTTGGCTGTGCCGATGGACTTCTCACAGAGAAGCTCAAGGGGCTGAAAGGCAAGGGGGACAGTTAGCCAGTGTCCAGGAGGAAAGTTGATGATGCTAAACAGCTGTCACTGTGTATGTGTGAAGAGGAGGTGGCACAGACAGTCATAACCTTTTAAGATCACAAGTCAGGGCTAAACCAAAGATAAAACACCTAGAGCTTTTCCTCAAAGGGCCAGTCAGCCATGTCAAAAGTACTATGTAAGTACTTATATTTAGAAGTACAACACAATTGGCCTATAGGCCCACTTACTGACTGCTGGCCAAAGGCAGGTACAAAGGCATCATCATGGAGTAGAGCGTGTCACCCTAAGTGTGCTGCCTGGCCAGCCCCCTCCCTGGGCTGAGCTGTGTACCTGCTATGTGGGCAGGGGTCCTGGTTTCACTCTCAGCTTCTAAACAGGGTATAGGAAATAGCAGTTGCTCAATAAACAGCTATGCTGGGGCACAGTGGTCATGCCCAAAAATGCTATTCTAGCCCAGTTACCAGAAGATAGTCCTGGGTTATAAAGGAAGGTCTCTGTGCACAAAATCCTCAGGGGGCCATAGCTAGAAGGTGCCTTACCCATCCTCTTAGAGGACCCCAGGTGGGCACGCGGGTGCACAGGTCCCTCAGGACCCGGATGACAATAACACACGACTTCAGCCCATTGGCTCTGGCCTAGAGGAACAAAGCACAGGATCTTTACACCAAGGCACCTCCAAGAACACAAGGCAAACATGAACAACACAAGCCTCAGGGTGCTACTTTGTCCAGGGTAAAGGGTGAACATTCACAACCATCAAGTGTGTGGTTGGCAGTGATGCCACTATGTGGACAACAATAATGTTACTCTTGGCACAAAGCAGCACCAACCCACCTACTCAGTCACAAGTCTCCTGGGGGGGTGTCGAATTTGTTTATGCGTGCTGCGTTAGCAACTGCACACCTGCAGGTGCTAAGCTTTGGCACGGTGCTCTTCAACGTTACCAAAACTTTACGGTGCAAGTTTTAGCCAAGTTAAAACTTAGGAATTCTCTACCAAAAGACAAATAGAAGAACAAAATGCAAACCTGGAACCACTTGGCGTGTCGGAGGGACGCCAAGGCAGCAAGGCATTTCTGCCTGTCCAGGACGTCCGGGGGGTCGTTGACTGATAGCGTTTCTATTCATGGATGGAATAAGAAGACAAGGCACAGTTTGACCAAGGGGTTTCTGTCAGGTGGAAAGGGGATGTGGCAGCTTCCTAAAGGGCAGTGGAGGCTCCCAGAATCTCAAGTCATTTCTGCCCTGAACCAGGGTAGGAAAAGCCAGAGTGCATTAACTCTGCCCAGAGAGTAAATTGTAAAAATTGGAGGCTGCTCCAAAAAAAAAAAAAAAAAAAAATCCCCAAAAAACAAAAATGAAAACATAAAAGGAAAGTTATTCTACAAGGAATAATCCCATAAGGGAGGGGATAGAGAGGTGGATCCTATCTTCTAACAGACTATTACCTTGCTTCCTCCCCTCATCTCCCAATAAATTAGCTATGCTAAAAAATTCAATTAAAAAAACCCACAAAAAAATCCATGAAACAAAAAAAGGTGGGGAGAGAAAATAAACTCCCTCTCTGCTTCCCACAACTGCCATCCCAAGGCATCTGCAGCAAAGGGGACCACCTCCGCCCACCAGGCAGGACTGCCCTAGCCCCAGCCCTTGACAGAGAGAGTCCTGTTGGTCAAAGGTCCAGCGTCCCTAAATTGATAAACTAAAAGGGCTTTGGTAGTTGGAATCAGGTATGAGAACCAAAGGTAATCAAAGAACAGCAACAAGAGTGCTAAGTGTGAGCCTATGCTACAGCAAAAACAGAGCATGTCGTTTTTGCCGCGCACGCGCGTGTGTAAGAGACTGAATAAGGCCTACTGCCTTTACCTTGCGGTGTGAGATTTGTGATGAAAAAATATTCACACAGAAGAGAAGCCCTGGGTGGACTATGAGTTGTGAAAGCATTAGTGTCTGAGGTTTTTAGAAAAATCACACTCCTACTTAACTCTGTTATCAATAAGCTCTTTGCATGTCAATCACTGAGCTGATAAAAGCAGCCAAAGGAAGGAAGACAAATGAAGACCTCAGTTCTGCGGCACCACAAGCTGTCTGCACAACTCCAACGTGATGTTCATGCAGAAACCATCGGACTGTCTTCCATTTCCATACTTTGAAAAACCATAACATCACCCAAGACATACTGTTTCAAAGCCAGAGAAGAGAATGGCTCAACAAAAAAACCAAGTGCAACACTGATGACAGCATTCAAGGATTAAGATAAACCAAAATGGTGTAATCCTCTGAAAAGTGCTACTCACTTTTAGTGCAACCGTGTAGTCGAACTCCCCAGTACCAAAACCAAATGAGAGATGTGATCTCAGAGTAAAAGTGGGCAAAGCTACACCACTATCTTTTTATCAACAGTCTAAAATTGAATAGCACATTCGAATGGTAAGGGAACACCAAGTTTCCAAAGTCCTGCTGGCCTTCTCAGCCTTCCTACCTCCAGCTAGTACTTTCTCCATTTCTTCTCTGACAACAGGGGATGTCAGGTGGATGGTCAGGGACAATGGAGGCTCCTTTGTGTTTTTTATCACTATTGCAGCATCATCAACAGACTGGAGTATTTCATACTTGTCTTCTGTAACAGCCTAGAAAATAAAATGCAACTTTCAAAAAACTTTCTCCTCAGGGGACTCAACACTTCTATTTAGCCCCACTGGTTATTGCAAGAGACAGGCCAACTTCTTGGGGTGTGATGGGACAGCAGTCCATTCATCTAGAGGGTCAGGACTTGCCTTTTACTGGCAAGGTCTGTGTCTATTTTGGGGTTTCATAAAGAAAGGGAGGTGATTTTTCATAATAGGGAGCTTCACAATGCAACACACGGGAGTTCAGGGTCTGGGAGGAGGTAAGGATGTGATTCAACAATTTGTCACTAGGTTGCTATATGACTTGACAAATCATTTAATATCATTATGACTGTGGTTTATAATTTGTAAAACGGACTTAATAAAATAACATGACCTGTACTACAAGGCTGCAGGAGGCTTAAACTAGATGCTGCATGGAAAGCAGAGAATCCAGCTGAGTGTGTATCTACCCACTGTTATTTCCTCACCAGGATGAGTGGCCATCAGTGTGTGGTATGAAATCAGTGTGTGGTATGAAATCAGTGGGTAGTAAAATAGTTTGTAACACTGGTGCATAGTAAAGCATGTACTCACTGTAAATGCATTTGTACATAGGAATGGTTACAACAGTATGACTTCTGCTTTCTTTTATATGCCATTTTACATGCTGTAATCAAGAAAATTCTAGGCCCTAGCTGGTGTAGCTCAGTGGATTGAGCACAGGCCTGAGAACCAGAAGATGGTGGTTCAATTCCCAGTCAGGGCACATGGCTGGGTTGCAGTCCGGTTCCCTGCAGGCCAGTTCCCAGCAGGGGGTGCACGAAAGGCAACCATGCATAGTTGTTTCTCTCCCTCCTTCCCCTCTAAAGATAAGTAAATAAAATCTAAAAAAAAAAAAAAAAGAATTATATATATATATGGAAAAAAAGAAAGAAAGTCTTGGGCCCTGGCAGGTCTGACTCAGTGGATTGAGTGCTTGCCTGCAAACTGAAAAGTCACCAGTTCAATTCCTAGTCAGGGCACGTGCCTGAGTTTTGGGCCAGGTCCCCAATAGGGAGTGTGCAAGAGGCAACCCCACACTAATGTTTCTCCCCCTCTCTATCTCCCTTCCCTACCCCTTTCTCTAAAAGTAAATAAATAAAACCTTAAAAAAAAAATGTCAAACTTTTATGATTTTTTAAAAGGGAAACAAAGTAAATATTATATGCAGGGAAGGCAGCTGCACTTTGGAAAAAATCTAAATTGGGGTTTCTCCTCTTTGGCAATACTGGCCTTCAGGCAGGATTATTCTGGAGAGTGGGGCTGTCCTGTGCACTGTAGGGTGATGAGCAGTATCTCCAGCCTCCATCCAACAGATGCCAGTAGCAACCTAATCTTCACACTGTGACAACCAAAACTGTGTACTGCCATGTCCTCTGGAGGCAGGGGGAGGGAGGTCACATTTGCCCCAGTAAAAAACACTAATCTAAATTTTAAAAAATACATATATATACACTTTCTCAGTATCTTTCTCTAAAGGCCAACTCTTTATTTAAAACTGGTCCCTCCACTATAAAAATTTTCATCAGCTTAATTTTCTTCAATTCTTTTTTAATTAAGGAGAATAAAATTAACTTAAAATCACTACTAAAACAGAAAAGCTTAGGGCTTCATTTTAAATAGTTCTTCAGAATTATCTGTATACTGCATTAGGCTACACATTTCAATTCTAACCTTTGGCCTGAATCCCAAATTGTCAGTCACATGTAGCAGAATTCATGTTTAAATACGAAAGTGAATGGTGTCTCTTAGGAATGGGATTTTTTACTTTTGTTTTTGCTCATCCTCTCATTAAATCCAGGAGGACAGTGTCCCAAGGAGGCAGCACATTACAGTGACCTGTGGAGGTTCTGAAGCCCTAGAACTCATAGGCTGGGGGTGCTGGGATCAGTTACTCTTTCCACACACTTAGATGATAAAGCACTATCTAAAAGGGGCATCATGAAGATGAAATGATACATGTAAAAAGCTTGTCTGCCCTAGGATCTGGTGTAGATACTCAAAAAATGCCACAGGCTTTCATGTAATACTTTTTTAACAAGACAAATACACTGGTTTTTAAAAAGTTATTGGTGATGTCCTGGTTTGGATTAGGGTGAGTTAATTATACTATCCATTCATCCGTCCACCCATTCAACTGAATCTGGATATGAAGTTCACATCCAGTGAGGCCTAGCACATGGTAGGTACTGGCTCCTTCCTCAAAGCCAGAGTATCTGGGCAACAATGCTGTCATAACCTAAGTGGCTCTGTGGCATCTGTCCATTACTCATTGAGAAGGTGTGAGTACAGCAAGTAAAAGGGTAGGTTTGGAGTGGGCCTCTTGGCATACATACACTGCACAGCTGGGCATCTCTTCCTCTGCCTCATATCCTCAACAGCACCCCCAGCCCCACCCAGTACAAATGGTCACACTCACAGCGAGCTGGATGGCCAAATTGTCAGCCACCTTGTCCAAGAGGGCAGTTGTGGGCTTCTCTTTGCATAGCAGCACCAGCTCTAAGTCCAAGTCCCCCTTGAGCAGCAGGCCCTTTGCCACGAGGCCAACACGCATAACCCCCCGCAGGGTTCTGGTCATGTGCTCTGTCTTCTGTTCCCTAAAGGACAGATCAATAAATGATATATGAGGAATTCAGTCTGACCACAATCAGAAAGGCTGGAGTTTCTTTAGGAAAGGAAATGCTCAGCTATATACTACAGGAGGGATACACAGTATCCCTAGAAAGAAGAAAAAACACAAAACCTCAAACTTACCCAGCCCCTTCTTTGGTCTCATCCTCCGGGGGCATGTCCAAGTTCTCAGACTCAGCTTGCTCACCACTGCCTTTCTCTTGCTCATCAATCCAGTCAGAGACAGCTTTGAGAGCCCGTTCTGTGTGGGACACCATGTTCTGGACTGCCTCCAGTTCCTCTTGGGTTGGATAAACGGAAGAATGTTTTGCCATTACGTGGCGATCATCATTCACAAAAATTCGCAATGGACGCTGGAAATGAGAAAACTCAGTTAAAACTAATGTGAAGAGACCAAGCAATTCACTGGTCTCTTTTAAGCTACAAAACTCACAACTATGGTTTATCATTCATGTGAAAATAAAGACCACAGTAGCCCCCACTTATTTGCAGCAGATACATTCCAAGACCTCCAGCGGATGCCTGAAGCCATGGATAACACTGAACCACCTATATACTGTTTTTTTTCCCCTATGCATACATATCTATAATAAAATTTAATTTATAAGCCAGGCATGGTAGATTAATAAAATAGAATAATTACAAAAATACACTGTGAATTATGTAAATGTGGCCCTTCTCTTGCTCACAAAATATCTCATTGTACTGTACTCACCCTTCCTCCACTTCCTGTGATGTGATGACGACACAATGCCTACATGATGAGATTGAGGTGAATCTGAATTATTTGTTTTTGGAATTTTCCACGTATTTTTGGACTGTGGTTAATAATGGGTAACTGAAACCATGGAAAGCAAAGCCATGATAAGGAGGGACTACTGTATAGAGTGGGCAAAACTAGGCTTACAGTTGTAATACGAATAAATAATACGATAATACAAGAATAAACTGTGTCTCACATACTCTGAAACTGTAAGCTGACTTCTATATATAAGCTGTATATGGGCTGTATACAGCCCACCCCTGTATATAAACACTCAGAAAAGGACAACTAAACAATGGTTTTTCTTTCTCTAGACAGTGGGGGAAAGGGACACTTACTTTATACATTTCTGTATTACCTGAATTGTTACGTATGTAGTATAATTCAAGAAATCTAAATAAAAGCTATACAATCAAGTATTTTAAGGCAATACTACAAATGTATTTATACACAAATGAAGAAATTGTACCTATGATTAAAGAAAAACTTTCTTACCATTTTTACTTCTTTTTCTGTAGTGTCTGGAAATCAAATTTTGCTTATCTTTTCAAATCGTGACAGATTTCCTTTATGTTATCAATACTTCAGCTGTCTATAAGATCAGAAAACCTTTTTAAGTTCAAATATTTCATAGATGAATAAATTTTAGCAGCAAAACAGTAGTGCTATCTCATTAAGGAGCCATTATCACCGCAGGACACATCTTTACTTCCAAGTAACCACTGCTATGCCAAGATACAACTAATCATAAAGTTCCCTAAAAATGAAAATAGTTTGTTTCTAAAAGCCAAGTCTCACTTCAAGCCCACACAGATGATTTTTACTTTTTCTATCTTTATCACTTCTTCAATCCTCACCTGAGGATATGATTACTGATGAGAGAGAAGGAAGGAAAAGAAACATCAATCGGCTGCCTCCAGTACATGTTCAACTGGAAATTGGACCTTAACTTTTTGGTATACAAGATAATGCTCCAACCAAATGAACCACACAGCCAGGGCAATCTTTTTCCTTTCTCCTATAAAGTATGCCAAATTTTACAAATATAAAAAATAAAAATAACAAGGCTCCAAGAAATTGAATATGTAGAAATGTTCAGGAATATTTGGGTATTTGGAGAAGGAAAAGAGGAGAAAGTTGCTCTGGTCCTTAAGGGTAATAAAGAGATGAAGGGAAAATGCATGAGACATGGGACCCCATAAGGATCCTATAAACTGGAAAGTCAGGAATCTTTTGCAACATCATGTGGATGTGACCACTGCACCACATGGACACATCTTTGCAGAGGTTAAGACAACCGAAGGCTTCAGGATAAACACAGCTGCAATTTTGGACTCCAAACAACATGCTGACCACAACCTACTGAACTCCCACTTTGTGTGAAAAGTCTGGTCCACATTGAAATCTTTCAGACGAGTACACAACAACAACAAAATCCTATCAGCTCAATATGGAACTGATGAATACCCCCATTGCATGCAACCACCTACCAGCTAGCTCCGTCAATCCAAGCCAGTCACCAGCCAGGGTAGCAGGCTTATCCTAAAAAGGAACCCACTTTTAGGATAAACAAGGACATGATTGGACAAAACAAGAATCCCACAATGTGTCACAACTACCTAGCAATGGAATTGAAAATTTAAAGGCTCCATCCTGGCCAGACAGCTCAGTTAGTTAGAGCATGTTCAGATACACCAAAGTTGCTGGTTTTATCCCCTGTCAGGGCACCCACAAGAATCAACCAATGAATACACAACTAAGTCGAACAACATATCAACATTTCTCACAAATTAAAAAATAATAATAAGGGGGGGAAAATCAGAGCCTAATGGTGAAGACCCATGTTAAACAGCTGCCAGTACTGGCCATTATCTATGCTGGAGCCTCATCAATCTGATAACAAAAGCTGACATTTAAAAGCATATTTATTTATTCAACATGTATTCAGTGTGCACCTTCTCTGTGCCAGGCATGGGCTGGCTAGCAGCTGTGACAAAGATGGACAGAGCAAGTCCCCTATTCCCTCTGACCTGGCTGGCTAGTGCACCAGGACAAACTCCTCTTTAAACGTGAAGTGGTACAGAAGCAGATGCTTCACTTTACACCACCTATTCGTCTCACATCCCTCTTCCACCACAAACAACAAATGTAGAGACATTAAAAATAACAAGGCTTTAACCAAAGTTCCAGGTGGCTCAGACCTTTTTACCCAGGGCTTTGTAGGACTGATATTTTGTATCATCTAAAACCAACTGAAAGGAGCTCCTGGGAGAAGTAGCTGATGCAGCACCTGATATAGAAATTGTAGCAGGTAGGCCTGGGTCACACGGTGCCGTGTCAGTCAGAGAGCAAGGAAGCGTGGAGGCTAACGGGAGGCTAATGGAGGCTTGTCCACTTGTAAAGGCTCCCACTGGCTACATTCAGGGAAACTTGAGTATTAAAAAGTAATAACACTTCCACCTGTATGAAGTTCTAGAATAGTCAAAACTAATAGATGAGAAAAAATTCAGAACAGTTGCCTCTGGGGAATGGTGACAGGGAACAACTGGAAAAGGGCCTCAGGGCATGCTCTCTCTGTGGGGTGTTGATCTTGGTCTACATCTTGGTAGAGGTTTGATGTGTGCAGTGGTCAGAATTCATGAATGGGTGCATTACTCCAAAAGAAAAAGGAACTGTAAGCCCTGGCTTGTGTAGCTCAGTGGATTGAGCGTGGGCCTGCGAACCAGACAATCGCAGTTCGATTCCCAGTCAGGGCACATACCGGAGTTGCAGACCAGTTCCCTGCAGGCCAGTTCCCAGCAGGGGACGCACTAGAGGCAACCATACATTGCCGTTTCTCTCCCTCTCTCCTTCCCTTCCCCTCTAAAGATAAATAAATAAAATCTTAAAAAAAAAAAAAAGAAAAAAGAAAAAGGACTGTAAACAAATGCTGGACTCTAATGTTTCAAGGGAAGACTGAACTTTCTGCTTACTCTGAAATGCATCATAAAAATATAGTGGACTGAAGGATGAACAGAACAACAAATGGACAGATAAATGTGTGAAACAGTCAAATGTCAACAGCAGAGTCTAGGGTGTGTATTCAGGTAGGCATTCACTGTAAAATTGTATCACTTTTTATGTATGTTTAAATTTTTCATAATAGAATGTTTCAAATATATAACTAAAATTGATTCAGCACATTACATTTATGCAAGTCCACATTCCATAATGATACTTTAAGCAGGCTAAACCCCCCCCCTTCTCCCACTGGGGAAAGAGGACATTCATTGTGTCAAAATATCAGCCCATCCAAAGTGCCCCCCTAACACCACATGCCCCCAGATGCATCCCTCTCTTCAACAAATGGCCTGCAAGTAGGTTCCCATCTCCTGTCTTCACCCCACCGTTTAAAACTTCAGGAACCCGGGTGTGCCTCTGTTCCAGCAGGCTGCCCTATTTGATCCTCCTCTGGTTTGAGAGGCAGGACCTAGAAAGGACCTGAGAGGATCCACTGAGCTGTGGCTGGCTCTGACCACTAAGCTTGGCCCACCTGCAGTCCATTTATCCCAGGCCTCCCTCCCTTACACCAGCCTTGGTGGTGATGCTTCTTGATTCAGATGAACAAAACGAGTAAGAGTACTAATTATTTCAACTAAAACAAACATTTAAAAATGGAAGTCAACACCGCTCTACAGGACAACAAAACTGGCCCTGCTTGTCTTAGTGTGAGTCCAGATTTGTCATCCAAATCAGCCTCTCAGAAGTCAGTTGCTCTGGTTTTGAATACTATGGAATCCATCTCATTAATGGACACAGGGGTCTTCTGGATAAACAGAAACCTTTAAAATCATTTTTAGCAAGAAACACCACAACACCTATCTACATGCCAAGGCTCCACTGCTCCTTACCAATATAACTTAAAAAAAATTGTTTTTAGAAAGAGAAAAAGGGAGGGAGAGAAACAGTGATGTACGAGAGAAATATCATTTGGTTGCCCCTCACACTTGACTGGCAACCCAGGCATGTACCCCAATGAAGAATTGAACCAGGGACCTTTTGGTTCACTGGCCATCGTTCAATCCACTTAGTCACACCAGCCAGAGCTACCAATCTAACTTTAAAAATAAACTGTGAAAGGCTGTACAAAGCTACTTGAGGCAACCTCGTTTATGGTTCGAATGTGGGCAAAAATGCAACCTAATTGTTACTAGCCCAGACGCTCTGAAAAGAAACCCAAAGAGAGAATGAGGAGAGTGAAGGACAGGATTTTAAACATGACCTCTGTGTGGTGTGGGATGTTTTATTTATTTTCATTTTATTTATGGACTTTAGAGGAAGGAATGAAGAGAGACAGGGGGAGGGGAAAAAAACCAGATTTGTTGTTCCACTTATTTATGCATTCACTGGTTCATTCTCATTTGTGTCCTGACCAGGGATCAAACCTGCAATCTTGGCATACCCAGAAGATGCTCTAACCAACTAGCTACCCAGCCAGGGCCGGTTTGGGATATTTTAACACAATGGAATCAAGCTTCTTTCTTTTATTCTTAAAACCAGCCCACTTATGGCAAGTAATCAAAGAAGTTTAAACCACAAAAAACATTATACTTGCAATGTGCTGACCATTTTTCTGACCTCTCACTAATTAGAATATGACCTTTGTGGCACTTGCTGTTGGGAAAGAAATGTGTGGATCAACAAATGTTCACAGAATGAGCCAGTATGGTGTTAACACCCTAATGGTTATGGCCCCATCATTCTTCCTCCAGGGTGGACGCCCACCCCACTTCCAGAGTATTTCACAAAATCTTACAGCTATCCCAGGGACTCTGCGGAACTGTCTTGAAGTGGATGTTGGTCCTAAACACACTGAATTAGATTTTGAAATGTACAAGGATCCAACCCAGCTCCTGGTTTTCCTGACCACCAGAACTATCCAATGCTGGAATGTGAAGTTAAGACACATAAAAAGAAATTTTACTTGGGGTGGTGAACACACAATATACAGATATGCATTATGTAATTGTGTACCTGAAACCTGTAATTTTATTAACAATGTCACCTCAATAAATTAAACAAATAAATAATAGTAGCTATTTTAACAATGCAACCCAGGTAGAAGATGCCAATCTGAAATACGGTTATGGACACCACTCTGAGAAATTAAGTCCCACAAAAGTATGAAGTCTAATGCAACAGTTCCAAGTTTTGTCTGCAACACTGTTTTTATTGATCTGTAGAGAGGTATACAGTTAGGATGAGATTTTCACAAATATTTTCAATGTAAAAGGCCATCCTTTAAGTTTAATTTTTCCCTATATTTCAGTGTTAAAACATCCTTTTTTCTCACCCCGGACAGGTGGCTCAGTTGATTGGAGCATTGTCCCGTATCGTACACCAAAAGTCTACAGGTTTGACTCATAGTCAGGGCATGTACCTAGGGGTTATAGGTTCAACACCTAGTTGGGGAATGTACAGGAGGTAACCAACCAATGTCACTCTCTCTCTCCCCGATAAATAAAACGTAAGTACGACATATTCCTTGACAAAATAAAAGGTTGGCAAATACAGGTTGTTCCTCAAAATGTTTCTGGAACTACAACCGGACTG